CAGTCCGTTGCGCGCTGACTCTTGGTTTCGGCTCAGGTCATGAACCTCAGGGTCAGGATCATGGGATTGAGTCCCCTGTCAGGCTCCACGCTCAGCAGGGAACCTGATTGGGATTCTCCCTCTTTCTCCCTCTGCTCCTCGCCCCCCCCTAAATAAATAAACAAAATTTTTTAAAAAATAGGTATTAAAGGACTAAATATGTTCCCTAGCTTCATTGTACGTTATTGCTAAATCTGTCTATGCAATTGGTTGGTCAAGATTTTGTTTACTGTTTGTAAGTGGATAAGCAGATACCGACATCCTGCCTTTATACGGATGAGACCCTCTTCCTGTATGTGAAGGCAGTGGCTCCTACTTTAAAATGTGATTATAATGGGGAAATGTTGTAATGTTGAATGTAAGCCATTGAACATAAGTTACATTTTACGGCTCTAGTTAAATTGCTTGGGATTTTTCTGCTGAGTTAAAGAACACAGGAGGGAAAAGTAGTTTTAGAAAAAAAATACGAAGCGTCTCATTTTTTAAGATGTAGATGTTGTTTGCTTTGTGATTTAGATGTTTAAAGAAGTATCAAGAGGATGCTTCAAATTTGGAAATGCCCTAGTTGAGATGGGAGAGAAGAATATCAGCAAACAGCTCTTTTCCTGAGAGACTGTGGGGTCATCACCAAGAGACTTCTTGATACTGTGCTTAACAAGATAATGGATTCTTCTAAGAGTTATCACATCCTATTGGTTCAGTTTCTCTGGAGAACCCTGACTAATATAGTACTATTATTAACCCCATTTTCAAACAGACAAGGAGACTGAGCCCTAAAAAAAAAAGTAAATAACTTGCTTGAGTTGGCACAGCAAGTAAATTGTGAAGCAGGGATTGGAACTCAGGCCTACTGGGTCCACATCCTGCTTTCTTATCCGGAGAGGTGAAGGAAGGATCACTTTCAGGATTGCTTTTATTTTCTGTTCAGTCATGGAATTCTAAATTGCTGGACTCTGTAGGAAACATCTTTAAAATGCTACTACTTATGACTGACCCAGAAGGAAAGTCAAGAAGCTAGTATAAAATAATTAAATCAATGCATAATTTATTCATTGAATTGAATGGGTATTTATTGAATGCCTGTGACCTCTCAGGCGCCATGCCAGACTCTAGGGTTACAAAGATGAAAAGCCCAGGACTCTGTCCCCAAGGGGCATATCCTGCTGTCTAGGGGAGACAGACATGCAAACCAGCAGGTACACTTAGGATAAGAGAGTTTTGGTAGTGAAATATGTTCAAATGCAGTGAGCTCGTTGGAGATGAACACATAATCTTCTTTTCACCCCTATTTTGTGTATGTATATAGATGTTTTGTAAGTAGAACAGGAACGCCATATAGTTATTGAAAAGTTGAAAAGTGTGGGTGGGTGCATGTGTGTGAGGTGTGCGTATGTATAAAGTAGCATTAATTTTTCTTGCCTGGATACCCAAGGGATTCTTAATCTTTGAAGTTTAATAACTTAACTAAAATATATAGTATTTTTTTCTGTGATACATTGTGCCTTTTCGAACTTTAGATTATAAAGAGTATAAAGATCACGGTGTTCTTGAGGAAAAATCAAGAATTGAAGTGCTTTGGCAGTTTGAAGTACTTAAGAAAAGTTGAAATTTCCAGGCATTTCTGGAGGGTGCAGAAGAATGTGGAGAAGGACCAGAGGCAACTTGATAGGCGAGGCAGTTTTAAATATGGTCAGATTTGTGAGATTCGGGGATTGCTCCCCATGCCAAAGATTCCCTCCCTCCAGCTTATAACAGTGCCTAAAACTGTGCCATTAAAATCTACTAGGTTAAGGCATTTTGCCCTAAATGGGTTCTGTAGAATTCTGTTTTGCAAAATGTTAAGAGATGTTCTAGGCAGGGGGATAATTCCATAAGTAAATAAAGATTGGAAAACACTACAACTAGTTCCCTTTTTAGTAATTAATTACTCCGTAAGATAGTAAAGATCCTAAAAAGTCCCATAATAAGAAAAAAAAATCATTTACTTTTATTTATACCAGGACTTCCCAAATTCATATGACCACATAATTCTTTTTTTCCTGGAATATTAGATGAAGACATTATTTTTCTGAATTTAAAATTCTAATGATCTGGGAGGAGCTGATCGATGATGATTAATAATAACAAATTAATGATGTAATAAAAATAATACCTAAACTTCAGTGCATATTTACTGTATCCCAGGTGCAGATCTAAAGTGGCTTTATATGATTACCTTATAAAATACAACAATCCTGTGACCTTCCTCATTTTACAGATGAAGAAATTTAGGCTTATCAGGATTGCATACCTGTGTCATGGTTACATAATTAGTAAATGGCAGAGCCAGGATTCAGACCTTGCAGCCATGACTCTAGGACTTCTCTCTTACCCCCACTGGGTAGTACCACACATAAAGTTAGCAGATATGTGTGGCCTAGAAGCACTTCGCTGTTGACCCCTTTTCTCCATGCCAGCAAGCCGAGAGAAGTCCTGAGTCGGAGTCCTGATGGACAAGGAGGGAAAGGAGTAGGAGAAAGGGTGCCGGTCTTTGAATGTGGGGTGGGGGCGGGGGGGAGGGAGGGTGGTCAGAGTTCAGGAAGGAGTCCAACCGAAGAAAAGTAAAGTGTGTGGGTGGTAGTACCCTTCCCCTGCTTTCCAGTTTGATCTAGAGTTAGCCTCTACCATAAGAAAAGAAGACACAAGAAATACAGAAAAAATGAAAAGCAGAGTACAGGTTAAAATTAATCATTGCCTCCAAGTCAGCACCAGTCTGACCAAAGATGAAAATGAGAGGACAAGTCAAATCCCTTACAGGAAAAATCACCGGGAGATAACCTCCATTTTTACCCATCCTGTTGTGATGCTCAGTTCCATGTAGTGAGACTCTCCGTAGAACCTGTGGACACAGCAGATGTATTGAGTCAGATTTGTACAACAGAGATGCTCAGGAACCCTTGTCCTTTCTCTGTTGGTGTTTTTTAGCAAGGAGAGTAGCATTTTGGTGTAGTATTTTTGGACAGTAACTACGTTTGAGGATTCGTACTACTTTTTTTTTCCTTAACACAAATTTTTTCAAAATATTGGGTTTCAGTGATGGAATAGGATAAGGAAGGACATACACTACTATAATATTTCCCTTAGCGAATGTCAGTTCCTAGAGTAAGGGTGAAGACCGGGGGGGGGGGGCTGTCCAATCACTGGAAACCTGTCCCCTTTGAATCTCAGAATCCGTGTCTTCCAGGGCAAGTCCCCACTCCCCTGACCTCCCTGTCTGATGCTATACGCACACCTGCGCTTTCTCTGCTACTCCAGTGAATGCCCTTCTGCCCAGCTGGTTTGACTTTCTGCCATCCTAGGCCTCATTTAGGAAAGACCTTGACTGGTAGCAGAAGCAGGCAGGTAGGTCTCCTGACTTTCATTCCTCTATCATCTCCACTCTACTACAAAGTCTTTCCAAAAGAAAGAAGTTAGAATTAACATAGCATGTCTAATGTCTTATCAGGCTAATTTAAAAGAAGTCTTTTTTCTAGACAACAGAAAGTTCTCTGTAATAAAAATATTTACATGGCCCAGGAAATGGTCTCCTTATTTGTAAGCAGTAGCTGATACAGCAAAATTATAATAGAGTAAACATATTTATATCATCTCTTGGATTTTCCGTTATTATCATTATTTGACCTGTGTAATACCCACCTTTACAACTTGATGACGAAAACAAGACAGCCTATTCACAACCCCACACCAAAATTCGCATGTATCAGCCTATCAATGATCAGATTGACTAAAGTGAGTTTTGAATATTTGGGTGTGATTAGTTTAGGACAGTCACTGTGACTGTAGTCAAAGATGGTGACTCTTGGAGCTACATGGAAGTACTGAACTTGTGCTTCCAGGAGGAAAGGGGGAAAATGGGCATGATCAAGATTGTCAAACAAACCAATAAATTAAGACTTTAGTATTAACGACAAATCTACTGGGGCTTCCGCCTCCCCTAATTAAGAAGTCTTAAAGGATGATTAGCATTTTCTGTTGATGTTTACCTCTGAAATTTTGAACAAAACAATGTAAGCAGAAGATACCCTGAGGAGCACTTTTGGAAAAATTCCAACAATTGCATAGCGCCACACAGATGAAATGAATTAATTAACTTGGATAACACTATTTCTTCTAAAGCATCTGAAATAGACTCTGAAACTCATAAAAACCCTTGTATTTTCTAGCATATGTGAGAGTTCAAGGGTGCTTAAGAGCCTATTTTGAAAGATTTGCTATGAAGCTCTCTTGGCAGAATGTACTGTTGCCAAAGTTGAAAGAAAAAGAGGCTGCCTGTAGGATTATCCAGTTGTCAATGTCTTCATAGAATCGAGGACTGGAAGGAGACTTTAGAGCACTTCTAAACTATCTTTTTTGTTTGATTTTTAACCATAGAGTGAACTGATACATAGATTGGCTCTCACCTCCCTGAAAGTCCCATACCTAGTTTCCGTGAAAGAGCCAGGGCTAGACCCCAGATTGCTGAAAAGATGAAGAGAGATTGACTGCTCTTCCCAACCCACCATATTGCTTGACTGGTATTTGACTTCCTTTTCGGTGTGAAATCAACTTTGCTGATTGAAATAATAGCTAGTAAGTGTATTCTCTGTATGACTTGGTTCACTTCTAACCACCTCCCTTTATAACTTACCAGCAGTACTAATCAGTAGGCAAACCATTTTCACCTGGGCACAGTGATTTTTACCTATCCTGAAGAGACTGACAGAGTGGACAGTTTAGGTTCCTGTCACAAGGCTTTTCTTCTCTCTCCTCACATGAAGCTTCACTTCTTCTTACCAAGAAGCAGTGAGCAAAAGGGGTGCCTGGATGCCTCGGTTGGTTAAGTGTCAGACTCTTAATTTCTGCTCAGGTCGTGACCCCTCAGGGTCATGAGATCGAGCCCTGTGTCGGGCTCTGTGCTGAGCGTGGAGCCTGCTTAAGATTCTCTCTCCTTCTCCCTCTGCCCCTCCCCACTTGCCTTCTCTCTCTCTCTCTCTCTCTCAAAAGAGAAAAAAAAAAGCAGTGAGCAAAAGGCACACGCAGAGATATGTGAATGCTCTTCACTGCCTCCTTGAGTTCGTCTCTCTCATATCTGGACTTCTCTCTCTACATCTTTGGAACAGGAAAGAAAAAGCACAGATGTGGGGTGACATCAGGTAGCCAGGTAAAAGGAATGGAGACTTGTCCTGGAAGACACAGGATTCTGAGATTGAAAGGGGACAGATTTCCAGTGATTTGATAGCCCTCCCTCCCCTCTTCCTTTTTACTCTAGGAACTGACATGCTGTTAAGGGAAAACATTAAGATGGGATTATAAATTCTATAATCCCATTGGATCCCTGGTTGTAGAAGGAGGCAGACCTCTGCGTGGGACCCAAGAGGATACTGAAATCATTGACAAGATTTTTTTTTCTTGTTTTCACATGTATATGTCCTGTCCCAATATACAGTGATAGAATTTTCATCTTAAGTGACAAAATTTCAGATCCTGAAAGTTAACGTATTGGATTTGAACAAAATGAAATTGCTGACTCTCAACTATATTTTACCTATAAAAGGGCAATTTCATATGGCTTCAGTTAAATAGTAAAAATCAATAACTGAGAGCCTATATGTGTAAAAATGTCATAAATGACTGGTGAATACTAAACATTATTAGAAACAAAAAACTGAACCTTAAACCATTTCCTTACCCTTGTCAAATGGTAAACCAACAGATAATCTTATATTCTGCCAGGGGGATCGTTGATTGATACAACCACTAAGTATGGAAATATTTAAACTTAGTGTTTTTCACTTATAGATATTTATATCCAGGTAGTACACTGATATATGTTCCCGGCAGCTTGCTTATAACTGTAGAAAATTGGAAACAAACTAGCGATAGGGGAATGGTATTGTGCTACAGCCATATGACATAGTGTTATATAATAACTAAAATGCTATTTACCAAGTGTGTGTGTGTTTTTTTTTTAAGATTTTATTTGTTTACTTGTCAGAGAGAGAGAGAGATTGAGCAGGGGGTGCAGCAGCCAGAGGGAGAAGCAGACTCCCCTCTGAGCAAGGAGCCCAATGCGGGACTCGATCTGGGATCATGACCTAAGAGCCAGGCGTCCCTTTACCAAGTGTTTTTAATGATACTGTATAAGAAGGGAATAAAGTAGAATCGGAATGGTATATACCATGTGATCTTAACGATATAGTCTCTAATAAGAAAATGCACCAAAACATTGACAATGGTTATTTACTTTGTACATTTCATTGTGTTTTGCAATTAACATGTATTGCTTTTATAATGTGGGAGGAGAATAATTGTTTTCTGGACATCAATACATAAAGTCAGGATGTCTGCCTGGCCAAAGGTGGCGTGTCCACATAGAACCATGGACATCTGCTTTCTAAGAAGCTTCCAGGTGGAGTTGGTGCTGCTAGCCTGGGAACCACACAGAAACTTATGAATGGTGGTTAGGTTTATTTAAAACAGGACTGAGCACCAAGTATAAATGGTTGTCTCTTAAGTCACCCAGCTCTAGCAAATGAAAGTTTGGAGTATAGTTTGTTCACTGTCTTATTATGTGTCTGCCTTGAGGACTCAGTACCATGCCTTTCCTCTCGGGATCCCCTTCACCTAGAACAGTACCTAGCAGCAACAAGAAAAATGTTTGGTTATGTTGGTTGGTTTATTGAATGAATTAAGTGGTAAAGAGCCCAGTTTTAAAATCCTAAAAAAGGGAATTAGACCACTGGTTCCTTTAACTTGCTAGCAATGTGATGGTAAGTAGATTCCTTAACCTCCTGGTGCCCATTTGCTCATCTGTAAAGTGAGTTCATAGCGTTGTTGGAAGGATTAGATGCATTAATATGCAAGTTTTGGAAGAATGCTTAATAAATGCTCGCAGCTGGTGTTGCTTTTATACAGGGCTGCTTGCATTTTAATGTTTTCCAAGAAAGAAAAGTTACCTGAGTATTCAGCAAAACAACAACAACAAAGAAAAAAAAACATTACAACACCACACTTTTAAGAGAGGAAAATTAGAGTCCTTTTATTAAGAACAAATCTTGGGGAAAGGACTATGGAGAAAAATGTTCTCTGAAAGCAGTTTGACAGATTTCTGCTAGACATTTCTGCTTTAGTGGCCCTCACAGTCCCAGGATTTACCAACTATGGGACCTCTCAAAAGTACTTCAAAGTTTCTTAGTTTTCTTTTGATTTTTGTAGCCATAAAAACATAACTGTCATGGATCAGTAGAATTTCTTAACCTTGTGACTTTTGCCCATGTCTCTTACATTAATGGTGACAATACTGATTCCCTTATAGATTACATGTGAAGATTAAATGAGGGATTGTGGCTACATGAGTGAGCAGAGTGCCAAGCAAACAGTTGATTCAACTTAATAAATTTTTATTTTACCTCCCCACTTTCACTTCTGCTCATCTTTCTGCATCTCACAATTTCTATGTGGTTTTCAAATGTTGAACAGATATCAAGGTGTTTTTAACTAGGATTGGCATCCTTTCTGAAAAACTTCTCCAAAAGGTCGCAATTGAAAAAAAAAATTATCCTTCTGATACTCCTGCCATTAAAAAGAAGGGGTGCTCTAAGCATGCAGTGAAGATATGAAGCCCTCTTTTCTCTTCTAGTGCAAGAAGCCTCATGAATGTTTCATTATGGTGTCTCTAAGTTGGGGACGAATCCATTGACCCCTCTTAGGAGAGTTCCAGCATGCTCTGGACCGGGAGGATTTGGTCCAAGCGTACTGCATTTTACTGAGGCAGACACGCACTGGATCTGTTTGGTTTGAGGCTCTCAGTTCAAAAACCTCCTAGTCTTAGAGGACTGACTTCCTATGAGATCGTTAGGAAAGAAACTCTGTATCTCAGATATGTATAGTTCTGTTCAGTGTTCCTTTGCATAATATTAGAAATAATGAGAAAGTTAGGAGTTTCCAGTGTATTGAGTAGCTTGGTAAGTTACTTGCTGTTAGCTAAGGAGTTGCTTAATATTGACCAAGCTTTTGCTAATCTGGAGAGCGTTGAGATCTATTATACATATATATATAGACCTTTCTTCTTTGTGTGACATCTGCAAGGTGGTAGGAAAGACAGTAAATTCAAAATTCAAAGACCTGGTTGTGCCATTTATTAGGTATGTGATCTTGGGTAGGACATTTATCCTCTCCAGATCTCAATTCCTGCATAATTAAATATAGATAATCACTAGGTATCATACAGTTGTGACCATCAGATAAGCTAAAATGTGTGAAAACTTCTGATAACCTATGAAGTCCTACCCAGGTAGGTGGAACTTTTAGGCTATTATATTATTTGTGAACATAAGCTTTTGTTTTGTTTTCCTATAAAATGAGCATATCCTGTTGCTTCAGGAGAGTTTGTACTTTCATTTAACTGGGTGTTGTATCTAATCAGAATCTCTGGTTTTTTCCCCTTGATTTCAGGTTTTAACTTTTTTTTTTTCAGGTCTTAATATTTAAATAGAAGTGATCTCTAACAGATATAGTCATAACCCACCTGCCTTTTAATTGAATTTGTCCCTGGTTTACATGTAACCTGTGCTAGGTAAAAATTAAAAAGCTGAATATTCAGCTTTGCAACATAGATAGGATTTGAAAATGGCTGGTTCTCATTTTGAAAACCCAAGGTTCATGCATATTTCTAACTATAGTAGACTCGGGAATTAGAAGTTGTATATATTGTCTCTAGATGTGCTTTTTTTTTTCTTTTTTTCTTTTTTTTACCATGAGCAATCATTTGCTTCTTAATCACTAAAAGTATCATTTTTTTTTGTAAGTATAGGATAAATATAAGAAAAGAATGTATTTTGGGGCACCTGGCTGGCTTAGTGGTGGAGCATGCAACTCTTGATCTCAGTGTTGGAAGTTCAAGCCCCACGTTGGGTGTAGAGATTACTTAAAAATAAAAAATCTTTAAAAAAAAAAGGGGGGGATATATTTTAAGATCTTTTAATAACATAGCGTTGTGGTAAAGTTTATACTTGGAGTTATTCTGGAAATAATCTAATAAATTTTTTCTTTTTTCTGCATTATTCACCTTCCTCTGTATTACAGTCTTTCCTATAAGGAAACTATCAGATTAACCCATCATTTTTATTTCCTCAGTGTTAAATAAGCATACACACTTTAAACCTTACCTGTGAATTATGGTTACTCTCCCTTTTATAATTTATTTCCCTATTCTCTTTTGAGACTCCTTTGGGACACAAAGTGGCATTCAGGCTTTAAAAGAGAACTGTACACACACACACACACACACACACACACACACACACACACACACACAGTTTTCTGCTAAAACTGAAGTAGAATGAAATCTGGTAAAGTTCAAGCAGAGTTAAAGACAATTCAATTGAGCTTTTACCAGGAGTTCTGAGTGAAATAATTGCATTATCAATGCTTCCTCTTCAGTAAGATTTCTTCTATTTGCTTTCTTGTACTTGCTTTTGGGAGGCTCATATTTAGAACTTCTATGCTTATATAAAAAAAAGAGAGAGATAGCTTTATAATTACTATGTAAGAACTGTGAAGTGGGAAAGAATACATTGGCAAGGCATATTACAATTACTTTGTCATGCATCTGGTTATGTTGGCATATTTGTTTAATTAAATTCCCTGCTAATTATAACTGTATGTACTTGTGTTAATTATTATTTGCTTAACACAGGAAACAGTGTAATTCTTTAAAGGAAAGCAACTCACTTGCTATTGAAATTAAATTCCAATGTAATATGCTTTCTAAAATAATAATAGTGATATTTTAGTAGAATGGTAGTTGGAAAATATTTATCTAACTCAGTGGAATTGGGACTGGCTAAAATTTAACAGAGTTATTTTAATATCAAATTGTAATTGGGAATAATAAATTTTAGAATATAATGGTCAACATTATACCAAACCACCAACTGATGCTAGCCACACACGAAGGATAAATTTTCACCTGTTAAGGAAAACCTTCTCTGTCATTCTGAAACTCCTTATCACCTATTCTAGAAGAGAGAGGGAGAGAATTAGTACTTGACAGTGATCCTCAAAGGACCAACAAGTGCAGTTCACCTTTTAATACCTTGTCTGAAGCATTTGTTTAATGTCAGATCGCCCAGATCACTTGGTTATAATCACTCATGGTACCTAGTATATTTAGAGGTTTTCTCAGGCTTGCAAATCATTATCATTAGAGTGAAAATAAGATTCCCAACAGAGTTGGGTCTTTTCTCTTTCATTCTTTTCATCTTCTCTCAGTTTCAGACATTTTCCCCTTCCTCCAAAGGTTTCCCCTTCCCTCCGACTCTTCCTCCCACTAGATATTTTTAAAAATTTCTCCCACTTACCTTGTGATGAGCTGAGAACTCTTATTTACATAACTGTCCCCTTTCATTTGCATGTATCCTTGCATCTGTTCAGAGAGCTTGAGTCTTCTCTTTTCCTTCATTTAGTTTAAAATTAATTTCTTTCTTTAAAATAACAACTTTTTTGCCATTTATTCTTTGTTTATTCTCCCTAATTCACATCAAAAACTTTTCTTATCTCAAGAGCTTTAGCTTTGGCTCCAGACAGAAATGGGTTCAAAGCATGCCTTTTCAGGTAAATTGCCAATCATCTGAGAATCAGGGTCTTTATTTATAGAATGGGACTATCAGTGGTGTCTGCCGCCTAGGGCTAGAGATGAAAAATCAAATTCCATATGTAAAGCATCTACATCTAGTTTAAACTATCACCAAGGTTAGGTAATGAATGTTAATTGGCAAAATGGACACACTGCAGTGTTTTTTGAGAGGGATTCCTTGTTACCATTGGACATTTGTATTAGAGTCACAGGAAGGCAATATCTACTAGCTACATGTTAACACTAATGAATCCCCTAAAATTTGATGCTGAATTTAGGACAGATGTTCAGTTGAATTCAACAAACACTTTTTGATTGACGACAAGGCACTGAACTGTGTACAAAGAAAAAAGGCATCCCATGGTCTAGTGAAGAAGTCAGATCAGTAAATGGAGCATTTCAAAATTTTGTAATATGTGCTATGGAAAAATATAAAGAGCAAGTTATGGGAACATAGAAGAGAGGATGTTATATCAGAGGCCATGACATTTAAACTGAGTAACTGGGCAAATGGGAATGCCATTAAGCAGAATATGTGGAATACAGTAGGAAGAGCAAGGGCCTGGATTGAGAGAGGAGCTAGCAGTCATGCTGTACATTTTGAATTGGAGCTTCCTCTACATCATGCTTGTGGTAACGTACAGCAGGCAGTTGAAATTTTGTGTCTGAAGCACTAGTCATGAATTTTGTATTTAGTCATTGGTATAGAAGATGCCTTGAAGCTACTACAATAATGATATTGAGTGTGGGTATGCAAAGTAAAAAAAAAAATAGAAGTAGGTGACTGATATTTAAGGTTAGATGGAAGAAATGAAGCTGAAGAGATCAAAGAGGAACAGTGAGTGGAGAAAGAAAAGGGAAATATTCAAGGAATGGAAAAATAGCCATGTGTTTCCTTCCCACGTGAGGGGGCAAATGATGGTGATCGTGTCAGATGACGTGGAGGCATAGAAAGGATGAGCGCTATCAAGAGGTCACCTGTCACTTTCAGGGGAGCATGTTCTGTGAGAGCCATTCAGGTGGCTGAGGCAGTACCAACCGCTAGCGTAGACTGCTCTAAAAATAACTTGAGTGCAAAAGAGGGAGGGGTTCTGTCTTCTTCCACATAATTTGGGAAAGCAATGACTGATCAAGGTAACATGTTAGAAGCAATTTAAACTGTTCTCAGCATACCTGTAGCCTGTAACTTTCTGCTCTTTTCCTGCGTAAACAAAGGAGTGAACCCTACCATCTAAAGCCTCTTGGACATTGTCTCCAACAGCATGAATTAAAGAATAGCCATGGAATGTTTTTCCAGTGCAACTTAAGCCACCATAAACTAAGTTTTGGTGCCACTGACAAGCTTTCACACAAATTAAATTTGATCCATTTGAAGAAATGAATTCGGGATGAGTTACCAAGGGGGATTCTAATCTAGGACTAGGGTTAAGAGCAAGAATAATCTGTAAGCGAAACAGCAGTTAGAACTTCCTTTTTTATATTTATTTTTTTGAAGTAGGCCCCATGCCCAGTGCAGAGCCCAGTGCAGGGCTTGAACTCATGACCCTGAGATCAAGACCTGAGCTGATAACAAGAGTCAGACGCTTAGCTGACTGAGGCACCCAGGCGTCCCAAGAACTGACTTTTTAATTTATTTTTTAAAAGTTTTCTTTGTAGAATTATGTATGTTTAAGAATTCAGCTATGACTCAAGCAACTTCCATCACTTGGTGATAAAATATATCAGTTGCAATTTCTGTATTTTTAGGGGAGGCATGGAAGCTTGGTGGTAGGAGGATGATCTTGAATAAGTTTCCAAACTGAAAAAGAACACAGGGCCCAATAGCTTCATATCTTGAAAATAGTGTTGCTTGTCTGCTTTCCATCAGCATATTTTACTTTGCCTTTTATGGAGCACTATATTATTATATATAGAAGGTATTATGGGAAGCAGTTCTTTTAAAATTTTTCTTAGTTGTGACCTAATAGAAAATTCTGTCCTGTGGCATGTCTGTATTGCTAAAGAAGATAGCCCAAATGCATCTTCTCCAGCAACTTGTAAACAAGATGTCTTCCATTGATTAATTACTGATGAAAATCCTGAATGATTAGCACCTTTTATGTATAAAAGCATCATGCCTGGCCCCTGTGGGAAACTGACTGACCCTAAAGAACCAAGTCTCATCCAGAGGTATAAAAGTTGCTGTTGACAGCCTCCAGACCCAGAGTGGTGGTTGGGGTGGTAGCATTGGTAATAACTGGAACTCATAAATCACCTCCAGTAGGCAGTTGGACTTTAATAATTCAGAGTGACTCTACATCTAAGCACCAACGTATTTCACAACTCCCAAGAAATCTACAAAATTATATGACTGACTCTTCACACTCTATAGCCCTAACAATAGGGCTCCCATAAAGTCATGAGCCTGTCATCTTCATGCTTTCATGTGAGGGGTTCCAGGGACATTCCCATGTCCACAAGTCTTTCTCCCATGACTCGACTAGTGCAGCTGAACTCTGCTACTGGAGATTTCCTGAGTTAATGTATTGTTTTCATTCATTTATCTACTCAACCACCAAGTATTTTTTGCATATCTTCAATGTGTATCATTTCTTCCTAGGCAATTCTAAGAGATAAAGATGTATGATCCCTCATCAAAGGAAAAGGAGACAGAATAGCAGTTTCTGAGCCCAAACTATGTATCAGGCACTGTCCTAGGTACTTTAGTTAATCTTGCAAACAACCTTGAAAGGTGGTTGGTGATTACATCTATTTTGTAGGTGAGGAATTTGAGGCTCAGAGAAATTACTTACCGAAGCTTACACAGCTACCAAGGGCAGAACTGAAGTTCCAACTCAGGTTTGTCTTCCTCAAAAGCCTGTGCCCTGCTAGTGCTCCTTAAGGAGCTAATAACCCTGTAGAAGAGACACGGAATGAAAGGTGCAGTAACACACACATTAAGAAGTTTGAATAAAATGCTGTTACAGGCACCTGGGTGGCTCAGTTGGTTAAGCGTCTGCCTTCAGCTCAGAGCCCCACATCGGGCTCCCTGCTCAGCGGGGAGTCTGCTTCTCCCTCTCCCTCTGTTCCTCCCACCTTCCCCTTCCCCCGCCCCCGCCGCTTGTACTCTCTCTGTCTCTCTTTCAAATGAATAAATAAAATCTTTTAAAAAAATAAATAAAATGCTGTTACATTAAGAAGTTTAAATAAAATGCTGTGGCAGTTCAAAGAGGGATAGAAATACTTCTAGCCAAGAGATTTAGGGTATATTTACACCGGGGGTGGGTGACGTTTAGGCTGGGTGACAAAGATGAGAACTATCACCCATGCCAGATCTGTACCTCTGAAACAAATAATGTTAAGAAAAACAAATATATGTTAAGGAAAAAAAAAGAAGAAGATAGCAGGAGGGGAAGAATGAAGGGGAGTAAATTGGAGGGGGAGACGAACCATGAGAGACGATGGACTCTGAAAAACAAACTGAGGGTTCTAGAGGGGAGGGGGGTGGGGGGATGGGTTAGCCTGGTGATGGGTATTAAAGAGGGCACGTTCTGCGTGGAGCACTGGGTGTTATGCACAAACAATGAATCATGGAACACTACATCAAAAACTAATGATGTAATGTATGGTGATTAACATAACAATAAAAAAATAAAAAAAAAGAACTATCACCCATGCACCAAATTTAAATTTTCTTTCATCTACGAAGTAAGCATCTTATTTATGGCATCTTATACAGTGCTTCGGTTATACAGAAGTGTAGTGAATGTTGGCAATAAATATTCTCCAATCAAATGTATTTGACCCCAGCATAAAGGAAATGAGGGGAAATCTTGAGGCACACTCTTTTCCTCTTTAAAAGGTGGCCTCAGCTAAGGCACTTAGGATGAAGTCTAGGCGGGAGGTAACATGAGGGTATTAAATAATCAAGTGCTGAGGAAGCCAGATTGCATAATTTTGAGGAGAGAAACCCTAAATTGAGAGAGTTATAGTCAGTAACTTATAAATGAACTTCTTGAGTATAGTCTTTCTCCCCAGAGCAGGGTTTGTAAGACTTGCCTGGCCAGTTACTTTGTTACCTTCCCTACAGCCCTTCCCCCCTTTCTGGGTGTCGTCGGAACTCTCCAGGGAAGCTCTGGCCCCCGTGCGCAGGTTCTTTCACTCTGCCTTGCCTTACATCGGTGCTTCACTCGTCCCGGAGTGTTTTCTGTCGTCCTCTCCTCCAGCCATCGGCCAGCTTCAGTATCTCCTGTCCTCTGATGAGCCTCTCCTGAGAACTGGGTTCTCCTTCCTTTCCTTCCCACTAGACACTGACTATATCTGTGTCACAGAATCGCTAGTATTCAGTGCACTTGTGTGTTTTCCTCTTAGTAGATGGTATGGTTTTTGAGAACAAAAAACATGCCTTTATGCACATATCCCCAGTGGTATGCCTGATCCATAGTTATCACTTGGTAAATACTAGCTGGATCCATATACAAAACAATGTAGAGACAAATGAACAGTTTTATCCTGAGCTGACCCTGTGTATAGCAACCCAGTTCACAAAGTCCTTTAGCTTTTTTAAGCCTGTGGGCCAGTGCTACCATCTAAGGCCCGAGCCACAGAAGCCTCGGGACAAGATATTGCAAGCAGAGCTAATGTGGGAAAACCCAGAATGGGATTTTCAATATGGTAATTATTTATCAGTACTCTCCTGGGCAGATGTAAATATCATTTAATGTACGCACAGATTACTGGATTTTATTGGCTCTTGAGTATGTCATAATTAAGTGACTGCTTCTGACTGTGGAGTCAAGATCGTACCATTTTAAAAATAGAACATAATCATCTGCTCTGATCACTTAGATAAAATATTATGGCTTATTTTACATTTCTGTAATGCACATCATGGAGCTTTCTCAACATTTACCAGCATCCCAGATCACAGCTAATTCTTAACGGAAGTTGCAACTGACTTTACCAGTCAGTCATAGGGTTATCTTTAGACCTTTGGCACCAGGATCATTCTCACACTGGCTCATTACTCCTCGTGGAGGAAAGATGGGAGCAGGTGTGTCTAATGAGTAGCGTCTACATTAAGTAGCTGACAAGCAGTATGCTAATTCAGTTTGCTTTGGGGTCATACGTATGTTTAATGAGTATTTGTTGACCAATTCCTTTATCTTAGTCCAAGGATTTTCAGAAGTTTTGCCATAACCAACAGTGTGCAAGTATGCATACATACATATATACTTATGGACAGACATACAGAAACATATATTACTACATACAGTATACTCTGATATTTTCTGTTCTGTCCTATTCTATTGTATTATCACCCCATTCCGTTTTGGTTATGATGCGCACGCAGTCTGAAAAACACTGCTTAGTCATTATCAGTAACACAGACTAAATGGGTACAGAATGTGGCCTCGACTCCCAGGAAATCCTATATGAATGTACATTATACACCACTACTGGAGGGGGTGAGTGGGAGGTACCATGGATGTATTATATGCGGGATCTTACGTAACTTCTATCAACTGACAGTCTTTTTTCTTGTTTCGTTTAACCTCATTTGCAAACGTTCCTGGCTTAGTTGCAAACTGTCATGGATCTGTTTTGGGGGAAGCTGATGAGTAATCTTGTGAATGGAAAGATGAACTGAGGGAAATTACTTACTTTCTGTGTTGACTCAGGCCCCATTTCGTCTTAACTCCCTAGTTAGGGGACATCAGTAATGGTTCTGTCTCTGCAATTCATCCCTAAATAAAATTAATTGGAAACTAGATAGCTCCCTAATAACCATGCTTGTTTTTGCATAATAGGAGAAAAGGATTAAATTCTTTGTTCTAATTAATAGGAATGAAAATAGAATCGCAATCCATGATAGGGCAAAATGAGAGAAAATAAGGCTTGTAAGTAATTTTCATGGTTGTTTAGGAATAATTGTTTCATTATTGAGTTAATAGGTTTTACAAACAGCTCCCATTTCCATATCATATTTCTGCAGTAGCTCTTTATTGAGGTTGCCTAGGCAGAAGATGTCAGGATGCTATTTTCAATCCATCACTTGTCTAAAATATGAGTTCCTAAGTAGTTGGGGGAAGGGATGCAGCAGGAAAGAGTAAGGTATGGGAGGGGAAATAGGGGGTCAGATTGAAATCAGTTGATTAATAAGACAACACAATTCATTCACCAGCTTGTTTCAAAGGAGACTCTTACTATTCTGGAGAGAAATTAGACATCAGATCCCTCATAGGCCCCAGGCTCTGACATGTGTTTTATAATGACAGTTAATTAGCTGCTGTCTGCAGCAATCATAGGCTGTCATTTCTAATACATTTCTGGGAAGCTGGAGGACAGGAGAAGTCACCCCCTCCCCATCTTCCCCCTTCCCATAACTGAAATCGTTTGCCAAAATTAACCATGAATATATGAGGCACAAGTTCAACAATTATACAGCCGTTCTGCACATTTATGTTTCCTACTTGGTATGTGCTCTGCATCCCAGGCTATGCCGGGTATGCATTTTCCAGACAGAGTTGTTACTGCAGCCAGCCTTGGTAATATTTCGGAACATCTCACACAGTACTCCCTAACACCTGGTCTCGTGGAAGATACCACTTGTCGTTGCAACTTAGGCATTAGAACACAGAGTCTTCCACGAGTCTTCCATGCTGTCGAGCTCAAACCACTAGCACCACCCCCACCACCATTTTTCCTAAAGCAGAAACTGCAGTGCATTAATTAAAATTATTTATTCTCCTATATGTAAACCTTAAATTTGGATAACTCCTGCAGTAGTATCTCATCTAAAATTTTAACACCCCCCCCCTTTTGCTGAACATCATTATAACATGGTAATGAAGTATAACAGGAAAGAAACTAAGCAGAAACCCTCCTTGTGACAGCTTAAACTCATAAATTATTAAAATTTTTAGAGACCTTCCGAATGGTCTTTATTTTACATGCAAAGACATTTGAGGCCCAGAGTACTACAGAGTAAGCCTGAACTGAAACTACATTCTCCTGACTTCTGGCCTTTGTCTCCTTTGCTTTAGAGCACTACTTCCTGCCTTATTATCGGAGTGACTTTGTGTAAATCACTAGACTTTTGCGACCTTGAGTTTTCTCATCTGTAAAATGGGCATAGAAAGCATACCTTCCTTGTAGGGTTGCAGTGAGTGTAAATGGGGAAGCTACTCCACAGTCATCTGTAGGACTCTGGGCAATCTTGTGTTGCCCTCTGCTTGGGGTTTGTTTTGGGGGCTTTTTAGATTTATTTATTTATTTTAGAGTGAGCACAAGTAGGAGGGGCAGAGGAAGAGAGAGAATCCAAATCAGAGTCCCTGCCAAGCACAGGGCCGGATGCGAGGCTCGATCCCATGAGCCTGAGATCTCAACCTGAGTTGAAACCAAGAGTCACTTGCTCAACCCACTGAGCCACCCAGGTACCCCCCCCCCCCGTGCTCTTTTAACATATGTCATCTTTACCCGGTACTTACCTAGACCTCATAAATACCCGCTGAGGGGCGTAAGAAGGCTTGCTGGAACTTTCTGGTTGAAAACTATACTTTTTAACAGGTGATCCGCTAAGTTTCTCTTTCCTGTTTAGAGACATGTCTAGTCAAGTCATGTGCAGAAATTCGGTCTTTTTCAACTCCCAAGATCTCATAACTAGTGTCCCTAGGGTAGTGGTTTCCAAGCATAGCAAAGTAGGAATTCGCTAGAGATTTTCTTAAAAGTGTAGATTCCTGCTCCTGTCTGACTTCTCTCCTATCAACATGCACCCCAAGTAAAAACCTAATGCAGTAAGTAGGTTTGGAGTAGAGCCTTGAGAGTCTGTACAATTGCTAGGTTTTGTTTTATTTTTGCTTTTTGAGCTCCCTTGCTGACTGCCTGGGAGATGCTCCTTACCAGAGCAGATCATATATCCCCAAAATGTGCTACCTTCCACAGCAGCTAAAATCTCTGGATACTTTCTTGTGGATTCTAATTAACTCTTACATTTTGGAAGTTGAAATGTCAGCA